TAGTTTTTGTCAACATATTGGTAGAAAAAAATTGCTATTTTTTTACTATTTTTTCTCACTAAATTACCCATAATTCAAAATTGAGGCCATTTTTCAAACCGGGACAACCGTTACAGTCATTTTGAGCCGTAAATGGGGTATGTTTGACTCTCCATGTTTCCTGGTTTGAACGAGTTTTGGAGATATGTCATATCGCCAGAAAGTGTGCATTGTGTAATTCATACTGGTGTAAAGAATCATTACAGTATTCAAGGTCACTCAAGGATACGACAGTAGCTTCGCTACATGTTACATGTCCACCAAAAATAACAGCGGACATGTACTGTCCAGGAAACTGCTTGTATCTATAGAAAAGTGTTGTTTTTTATCTGTTGCAATGCACGGAGGTAGAAAGGCTTGTTTTGCCGCTTTATAGTAAATGACCGCAGGTGACCCCGAAATAGAACGCGGGTTCGATTCGAATTCCCCAGATCGAACACGATCGAACACAGTTCGGGTTCTATGACATGTGGGAACTTTGCAGCCCAGATTTGACCACCGTGAACTGTTTTTGAGTAACTGTTCAAATATCATGGTTCCTTACCTCGCACTATAAGTCTAGCCGCCTGTGACGTAAATATGTATACCCCGTTAGCATTAGACGATGCACACTTGTACACTCCGTTGTCCTCACGACCCACAGATGTAATGGTCAATATGCCGGTCACCACGTCTTCACCGTTCACTACTTCTATAACTTCAACCAAACTGATCTGTCCTACAGGTGTGATAGCGCTGCTGTCGTTGTACCAGGTGATCGCAGGTGTTGGCACACCTGTACTGCTGCAGGTGAATGTTGCTTGACTACCAATATTTATTGTTTGATCCATGGGATGTTGTGTTACTGTAGCAGGCCCTGTACAACACGTAGGAAAATACCGCGTTGAATATACCTATACTAACAGAGATAGCAACCGATTGTGGTCATGAGCATAGAATCTGAGAGATGCCTTAATAAATATTTACTTAAAAATGTACACGAGATATGAAAACCGGCCGTCCCGCTGCAGTGCCATAACAAGACGCTAGGGGGCCCAAAACATAACCATTTCGAGCTCTCATCAAGACCTACCCACCTATGAAATATCGTGATAATTCATCTAAGCCTTCTCGAGTTATGCTGTTGACACACAGGCACACGCACACACTGTGACACACGGCCACCAAAGCATACCCTTCTTGGCGAAGGTAACTAGACCGTACTTATCTGACAGGAGTTTCCCTCCCAGCCAGCCGCACATCCACCGTTACACGCTCCTGTTTCCGCGTTACAGACTGAGTTTCCAAATAAACAGTGGCAGGTTTGGGTGCAGCTCGCCCCGTAAGTACCGTCCGGACACGCTAAAGAAAAACACACCGAACAAGAGTTCCGAGATCTCATACCTCCATGAAATATGGGCTTGCTTTGTCATACATTTCAACATGTCCTCATTAATTATGCAAATGACCTCCACATAACATAATATATGCATAGTGGTGTTAACCTTTAAGTAACTTACACGTCACAAGGTATAAAAGTCCCATCATTCACCAATAAGGAGTCACAGAATTTTCACATTAATTATGCAAATTAGGTCATCATTTATGCATAATTGGTATCTGTTGATGTTTCATCTGCCACAGATTAAATAGATTTCATGTATAAAGGTACTATTATATAAAACACTGTAATTATAGCATTTCCTCATTAATTATGCAAATTAAGTCCTCATTTGCATATTTGCATTTAATTATGATTTTTCCTATCTGGACTTATTGGCTTTTAAAGATTTCGCCTGAAAGTGCCCTGCAGTTCCAAAACAAGCTGCTAGGGGGACCAAACTCACACCACTTATTTCTGACAGAAAAAGCTATCTGTCACCAAACGTCAAGACCATATAGCATGTTCAGAACAAAAGATACAAAAACCGGAAGTTCTGCTGCAGTACCAAGGTCATTCACCAGGAGGCCTATATTTGACCTTGACCTTTGTCTTCCTATAGCTAAGACTTACCAACATACCAAATATCATCACAATCCATAAAGGCGTTCTGAAGTTGACAACAAATGTGCGGAAACACAAACACACAGACACACACACACACACACACACACAAAGACAGACAGACAGACACGCCAAAAACAATGCCTCCATTTTTCATGGAGGTACAAAAAATGATTCCATTAGTTACGTTAAAGACATAGAAACAGTAAGATTTGTTTCCTGACTGACTGAAAGAATGCAATCGCAACTGAAAATATAGTTTTAAAGATGGTTTTAAAATGAATTTTGTGAACATATTACCGTCTTGACACGTCATTCCGGTCAGCCCAGGAGGACAGGTACACCCTACCGGATCCGGAACCGTCATCAGCTGGCCCTGACAGCCTCCACTGCAGCTGAACCTACACGTCTTACCGAATCGTCCGGACGCACAGGCTGTTTTAACAATGGAAAAGTCATTGAAGCTGTCAAAATGGTGTACAGAATCATACAAGCAATGATTTATCCGTTTCTTTTGAGAATGTAAATAGAAATCTGCCAGTAACATCCTAGTACTGAAATGATATTCTGTCACCAAAAATAGGAGACCATAGCATGTCCAGGACAAAAGATACAAAAACCGGAAGTTCTGCTGCAGTACCAAGGTCAGCCACCAGAAGGTCCATATTTGACCTTGAACTTTGTCTTCCTACGACATAACAACGTACCAAATATCATCACAATCCATAAACTCGGCGTTTTGAAGTTATCACGGTTGCTACAAATGTGCGGGAACACACACACACACACACACACACACACACACACACACACACACACACACACACACAGACGCGCCGAAAACAATACCTCGGCCATTTTTCATGGAGGTAATTAATGTGATGATCCACCCCACCCCCACACCCTTACGTATGCATCCATGTGTAAGGAAACGTCATAAGGTTTTTGTTGTGAAATTGCGGCCCACAAAGGACGACCGAGACGCCATCTTGAATGTGTACATGTACGTGAATAGACTTACCCCTGACTATGAGCCTCATGATGCCCTGTTTCCTGTCAGAATATGCCCCGTCATAGTAGCACTCATAGATCCCTTCATCTGAAGACTGGACGTTGTTGATGTTGAGTGTGAGAGCCGTCTGACCCTGTAGGACGACTCCGTTCTTCCTCCACTCCAAGTCTCCAGTCCTGGTGGAGGCAGGGTTCCGAACCATCTCTAACGTTACCGCGTCTCCCACATTCACGGTACGGGAGAACAGCCGGGGCCTCACGTCGGCTGAAATGGACAGTTTTCGTTTGTTGAACAATGACGCTGGGACTTGGGGATGCATCTATCTATCTATATCTAGACAGAGAGAGGGGGGGTGGAGAGAGAGAGAGAGAAAGACAGACTGAGAGACAGAGACAGGGAGATAGAGACATAAATAAAGGCAGAGAGAGAGAAACAGAGCTAGAGAGAGGGAGAGAGAGAAAGAGACAGAGAAATAGAGACACAGATAGATATGCAGGCAGAGAGAGAGAGAGAGAGAGAGAGAGAGAGAGAGAGAGTCTAATAACAATCAATACATATCATGAAATTTCGAATCTACAGAATATCCCTACCGTCTTCTCTCATCTTGAACGTGATCACTTTGTCCGTAACACCATTTTGACGAACTATGCAGGAAATGGCGTTTGTAAGATGAATCGGGGCGTTATTATTTCGGGTGTCATTATACCACACCCTTACACGCAGCGGGTTGTTGATGAAGGTATTCCTGGCTGAAGTAAACCCACGTCCTGACCCTGTGTCTAGTTCAAGCCCGAACTGATACCCTCTTTGGTTTATAATTGTTCCGGTGCGGTAGCAGTTCAACCAGGTGTAGCCGTTTTCCGGTATGTATGGAAACTCGCTGGTTATCGTCACGTCTGCTACTCCTGGGGTAGTAAACACAGGTAGTGTTAAATTTCTATACAACACAAGTGGTTCGACGGAGAATAATAGATAGAAATATATTTCATAAGTTTTATAAAATATAAGTTTTGTACACGTCTACCTTCACATTGCTATCGGTACAGGTTTGTGTTTTAACACTACTCTCCAAGCAGAGGTTTGGGTTTTGGGGGTTTTGGCGTGTTTTTAGGCTTTTTTTATTGGGGTTTCTTTTTCTGCACTGGAATGTTTTTTCACCCAACCCAGTGCAAAAAAGAAACCCATAAAACACGCCAAAAATAACCTGAACCTCTGCTTGGAGAGTATTTTAACACATCACTACACAAGTATAGACTCATCTACACATGCAAGAATGAATTCTTTGAAACCTTTTGTTATGTCAGACGTTAACAATTACTCAGGACAAGTCAATTCACAGGTGTCGAAGCAAAAGTTCAAAGAATCCGGAACTGAGAGCCCGATATAAATGTCCATAACCTGGGTAGTTTACCTTTGAAAAATGTTAACTTGTTACCTTCATGAAAAATGGAGGTATTGTATTTGGCGCGTCTGTGTGTGTGTGTGTGAGTGTGTGTGTATGTATGTATGTGTGTGTGTGTGTGTGTGTGTGTGTGTGTGTTTCCGCACATTTGTAGTCAGCATAACTTCAGAACGCCTTTATGGATTGTGATGATATTTGGTATGCTGGTAGGTCTTAGGAAGCCAAAGGTCAAGGTCAAATATGGGTCTCCTGGTGGCTGACCTTGGTACTGCAACAGAACTTCCGGGGAAAACAGATGTGCGGGGTGGCAGGGAAAACAGATGTGCGGGGTGGAGGCAGCACCTGCCCGGTTTGATTAATGAGGTTCTCCCTTGGGAAAAGCCTACATGACTATATCCAGGCCAAAGGTGCTACTGTGTGTTTGAAACCAAAAACTTGCGTTATTTTGTTCTGTACTGTAGTGTACTGTGTAAAAACATTTAGAAAAACTCATATATTTCATGGAGGTATGAGAATTCTTGTTTCAAATATTATCACTACTAGTCAATAGTGCCACGAGGCCCAAAGTAAACAGAGGGACGTATATACTGAATAGCATTTGAGTTATTAGTTGCAGCGTTAGACTTGCTGTCTTAGTCAACACAATGCCCCACTGTATTACTACATGTACGTTTGTCTGTAGGGTCAACGTGATGCCCCAGGCATGTTCTTCCTTTTGTCAGTCTGTGTATAGGGCTGTCACACATGGACAACTTTCAATGTTTTCTCACGACCTCTCTCTCTCAGTTCGTGTTAGGGAGTAAACAGTATCGTTAGATATAATCTGTGCTGGTATGTTTGGTAAACAAGGGCTGACATGCGCCATTGACCGTAGACATGGGCCAGGATGGATTTTTTCACGTTTTTTAAATTCAATTTTCACAGGATTGTGACAGTGGTGGTGGTGTATGTGGGGGGGGGGGTATCTGTTTCTTCTCGCTACCAACAGCCGGGCGACGGGTCTACACCTTTTAGCCGAGTGGTTAGAGCGTCGGCGTGTGGCCCGGGGGCCGTGGGTTCGAACCCCGGCCCGGGACCAGGAGGGGTTTTATCTGTTTCTTCTCGCTTCTCTTGTTTCGTACAGGAAGACAAAACACAAACATAAACAGACATGCACGGCACAGGCACTACATCAAAATAAATAAACACAAAATATTACAAAGTACGAAAATATGATTGGAATCTATTCAGTAATCATAGTTGATAACAATTTGAACATAATGACTTGAAACACAGGACATCTTACCTTTGTAAGATTCTACTCCGGGTGATACAAATGAGTTTCTATGTGATAACAACATGCTTCGGGGAAATAGCTTTAATCCACTGAGGCATGTAACAGACTTGGGTAAGTAACTTTTTTCTGTACACATTATAAACAGCTACCAGCATTTTGCTTTCTACGAAGAAAATATTGGCG